TAAAGGCATGTTTTGTTGGAGATCTAAACAAAACAAAGCAATTATATTAACCTGAGTCATCTGTTCTGAGTAGAGCGCAGGTGGTTTACACCCATTTAGCAACAACTGCATGCCTGAGATGAAAGTTAGAAAGATGCAGATCACAGCGGATGCAGCAATTTATGCCATAATTGATCAATAAGGCTGAGGGCAGTGCTGTGAACAGGACAATCAAGTATTTCACCACCAAGACAAGAAATGTGCCATCTGTACACAAGTGAAGACCTCTTTACAGATTTATTTTAATTCCCAAACCCCACAACTCAGTAAAATTTGAGCTCAGATCCATTTTGTAAAAGAAAGGACCCAAGACTACCCAAATGTGAAACAAGACAGCTGAAGTTGAGGGCTAATGTAAAATTTGTGGCGGTAGGCAGACAGACAGAGATATGAATAAGGAGCAAGAAGGAAGGCGTGACGGTGCAGTCAGGCATTAAAAGGCAACTGGTACTCTCTGCCTTTCAACAGAGCAAAGAGGGGAATAGGAAGATGGGAACCAATGCAGAAGAGAAAGGAGGATGGTGACTGACGAGAGTGAAAGTACAACACATAAAAGAAGAAAGCAGGGAGAAAATTGAAAGCAGGTTAGGAAAAAGAAGGATAGAATGGAGTAGAGAGAAGTCAGACAAAAAAACTGTCTTAATTTAGTTCACTGCAGCATTAAACAAACTACTTTCATGCTTCTTGGGGTGCATGTATGTTTTTACACAACTACATGTTAATCTTTGTGTGTTTTCTATGCTTGCTAGGTGTGTGTGTCTTTTCTTGCACCGAGGTAAAGACCCTCACCTAGGAAAGAGACAATTTTAATGAGCAGAGGGTCTGTTGACAAAATCAAGAAGCCGTTACTTTTGTCAGTAAGCAAGAGAAAGCAGCAGCAGCCCATAGATATGCTGCCAGGTAATGCAGCAACACGCTGTGTTTGCTTCTCCTGTTAGCAGCTCTCAGCACTACTTGATTTACCCTGTTAGAGCTACTTCTGGGAGTTATGAGAGCCAAGGGCCATCTCGTCATTATGCTTCATGTAGAACATTAATGCAGAGCTCAATTATCCTGGATCCAGCCCATGCCCTTCCTCTCCTCCTGGTTGTTCAATAAACGCATGATTATCTGCCATCTATGTAAGACCAAAGGCAGTCAATATTCTATTCTATATGTATAATTTTAATCAGATAAATACAAATTGATTAATAGACTAAAACAAAAATCATCAATCAAAAAATGTAACCATTAAATCAAAACAAAATAATGCAAAAATAGTATTTTGATGTTTGTTTTTGTAATGTGTTCTGATTTATTTCAAAAATTAAGTTTTTTTTTGTTTTAGTCGCTCGACATACTCCAAATTTGTCTTCAGTCGATAATCACTTTACTTTTTTTATCATTAAGTTCTCTGGATGGTATAATAATGCTAAAAAAAATGTCAGGTCATTTCATTTCGGCTTTTTATACCCTGAATGGGGGTGTAAGGTGTCTTTACCAAGGCCCAGGGCGAATCTGTCAACTCAATGCTGATAAGCAAGTACCTTCTTACTGTCAAACACTGTTAACAGCTGCATCAATTTGCAACCCTTGTAAAGCATATAACTATGTGAAAAAACTTAATAGAATTTACTACTGTTGACCTAAAAGGTTCTAAAATATTTAAGCAACAAACTCTGTTTTTTTTTTTTTTTTTTTGTGAATATTATAAAAATATATTGTAAATATGCTCACTGGCTACTGTAGTAGATACACCTTTTCAGTTTTTTGTTAACAGAAATAACTTCAGGTGATTTTATAGAACCGCCTCAGTGCCTTCAGGCTGGCACATCTGAGTGTTATAGAAAACTGCTTATCTAAAGAGATTTTTACCATAAATCACGTTTGCAGATCAGTGGATAATGCAAAGATTTGTTTTATGTAATCATTACAACTAAGGTACGAGTAAAACCATCTTACAATTCACAGCATGTCAAACTTTGTAGTAGGTGGGCGATAGCAGCAGAGGAGATCTGGCAAGACTCTGCAAACAGTAAACCAAGAAACAATTCTCAGAGGCTCACCAAAACTCAACAAAAATAGGTCAGCCAAACACTGCAGATACTGACAAGTCCAAAACTCAACTTTTAAATCACAGGTAGCACCTTAGAATACATCTCCCCTCCTACATGATCAATACATAGATTTAAATGTAGAATGAAAACATTTTTGGTATTTATATATGTTTATAATTTAATCACAGGTGTGCATCAGACAAATTTGACCAGTTAAAATTGAGCTGCAGCAGTTCAGCTGTGTATTGCATGTAGTGTATACATTATATATATATATATATATATATATATATATATATATATATATATATATATATATATATATATATATATATATATATATATATATATATATATATATATATATATATATATATATATATATATATATATATATATATATATATATATATATATAGTGAATAATACGAAATCTAATATCTACAAATAGCTTTTAAAGGTTTGTCATTCAAACATATAGCTTAAATCACATAGAAAAAGAGGAGGACATCTTTATTCCAGCAGGACAACAACGCTAAGCATAAAGGAAAAGCTGCATTGAAATTAGTTTAGATTTACACAATGTTTAGTCCATTAGGAACCTTATTATTACATTTCTACTCTCCATCCAACTTGACTGAACTTGAGCAATTTTGCTTTGAAGAAACATATACAAATTTTGGCCTCTTGATATAATTAGGGAGTGACTGAAAATATACAGCATACTTTTTGCATCCATTTAAAAAATATATATATCTCTGCATTTTATTTTCCTTTCACTACAGTTACAAAGTATTATTTTATTGTATTATCACATAGAAATAGACAACTGAATGCGATCAAAACCTGTTAATTCTTCTGCAAAGCAATCCAAAGAGCCATATTTGTGTCTGTGTGTTTAATGCATTGTGTTTTCCATGTCGAAAGAAAACAACATCTTTTTTCATTGTGGGAAGAAAAAAAAATCCATTTGCTCATTTTATGACATCATCCAATTCCTTTTGATGTAGGTTTCTCCTAAGTTAGTTTTCCTTATTAGTTTTTAAACTTGCTCACTGCTAAAACCTCTTTGGATTTAAGCGAAAATGTTGTCTTTGTTCTTAATACCAGTGCCACAAACTCACGAAAAACTTTAAGCTTAGTCATTCACTGCTATATTAAGGAATATGGACATTTTGTGGGTCCATAAAATCTTACAAGAGCCACTAACAAACCCATGATGACTTTTTTTCTACACCCTCCTCCACAGGACTCCTATAAAGCAGCTAGAGAGCGCACAGATGGAGAATTGGAAGGATAGCCATAGCAGAGGCAGAAGGAAGTTCAAGTAGTTGAAAGGAAGTGCTTTCTGAGTAAAAGAGAGAGAAGGGGAGAAGCAAATTGCACAGTGATGAGAAAAGGCAGAGCCCCTGACAGATCACGCCTCTGACAGCCCACAGCTCTGAGGGAAACTGATTAAAATCTGGTTAAATCTTGTGAAATATAAACTCTTGCAAAAAAAAAAAGGCAGAGGAATAGTGCAACATGCTGTAATAGGTCTGAGATTAAAACAGAAATTAGCCTGTCGGTTAAGTGTTTGCTGCTTCCACTGAGTGATAACAACGTCTTGCTTTAACCTCAATTATGAGAGGTGATCCCTAATTGGTTTTGTTCCACACTGCTCAGACAACAAACGTCAGACTCCAACCAAGCGTGAAAATATTTTCTGCATGCCCGCAGCCTACAAGACACACCCTAAGGTCACTAAGCCATTAACGTGTAAGACATTTGTATGCCCAAATCTCTTATAAGAGATTAACATGGTTTTCCACAAAGTCACAAAATAAATCATATTAATTTCAGCATTTTGACTCAAAAAGGCTTCTCTAATAACCAGATATTTTAAAGTGTTTCTTTTTATTGAATCACAAGGCAAATCAGGTACACCTCCTAGTGGTCGTTGGTGGAGCCGCCTAGGATGGTATGAAGCCCCAGGCATGATTTTATACAGTGTCACACTTTCTGTTAAAGCCCCACCTGCCAACTCTGAATGTGTTTTGTAAGACTGAGAGAATTTTAAACTATTTTTTGAACATTTGCACAATGTTCTGCAATTGTTTTTTGCTTTTTAGGGTGAATGTATAGGATTGTATCCTGCTGTGGACCTTTCTGCATGGAGTCTGTATGCAGAAATGCTTTCCCTTTGGGTACTCTAGCTTTCTCCTATGGTCCAAAGACATTTTCTGTGGTTAAATGGTCATTTCAAAAATGTTCTGTGTGTGCATGTAGGGCTCCAATCTTCCAGAGACTCTGTAAGGATTAAGTGAATATAGAAATTATTAAATATAAATTTCTCTGACTTTTTTTGCTTTAGAAGTCATGTCATGACTAATATGCTGCATGTATGAAAGTAAAGGGTCCAAATTAATTGTTTGTTCAAATTAGTATATGCAGAAAACTGATGAATAGTCTCCAGTCACTGTGTGCAAGAAATTGGCCTCAAGTACTCTAACATAAAAAGATGTTTTAACTAGAAATTAATTGTATAACTGCTAACATAATTAAACTGTGAAAATTCCCTAAATGATAAATCACTTCTGTTTAACCCCATATATCCCTTTATAGATCTGAATATACAATATATGTGATATAAAATAACACATTTTAAATGTGTTATTTGTTTAAACTCATAGTATATTTCACCTCATGTTTTTACATCAGTAGTCTGTGTTATAGATTGATAAAGCCTAAGGGTCCACCTGGTGGCCTGGAAACATTCTAAGCAGCAGCTGGGTTTATACTTTATCCAGGTTTGATGGGCCAACTGGAATTACCACCCTCAAAAATTAAAGCCCACCCAGGGCCCCATTCAACCTTGCTCCGCCACTGCCCTCTGCAGAACATTAAAACAGACAAAAAGCAAAAAGAAAAAACATCCCCACTTACGGTAAAAGACATATTCAGTGTAGCTGGACCAGATCTTGTCTTCTGTGTGCTGGTTGACAAACGATGCTGTGACTGAGGAGTTGCAGGCTACCATCTGGAAGCCGCACTCTGACAGCATGTCAAAAGCTCTCTCCAGGTGCTTGAACTTGAGATAAAACCGGGAGGTGTACCGCTCCGGGGTTCTGTCCGGGTCCCTGCTCTCGTTTAGCGTTTCCCCGAACACCTCTTTAGCCAAAGCCACCCTGCCACAGATCAGTATCCGAGGTACTCTCCTGAATTTGGCGTCGCTCTGGCTCTCGCGCCCCATGGTGCATGACCCCCGGTACCCCACTGTGATGAAGCCGCTCTTCCTGTCCGCGGGGACCAGAGAGGGGGGTGGACACTGTCTGTGGTCACTACCCTGGGAACCGTCTTCGTGGTCGCTGTGGAAAAAGTCGTCCGGGCTGTGCTTGATGTCCTCCGGGGTCAGAAGTTTCACAAGGTCTGGGAGCTGAAAGTACTCTGCCTCTTTCCGGAGCCTCCCTTTCTCAGGGAAGTGGTCCGGGAGGACGACATGCTTGTCTCGGAGGTAGTCCAGCACATATCGGAATAAAAACCCATCCCTGTCGATGAAGTACCGACCCTTGGGGTCTCTTGCCAAGTCGTTCGACGCCTCTTTTTTGGAGGAGAACAGTTTACCGAGCAGCGAATTCGGGGTCCCCACCAAAGTGGAGTGGCGGGTATAATAAACCTGTCCCCCTACGTTCAGCTCAACAACATCTGGAAAACTGTTCTGGACTGAAGATTGCAGGTCTTTGGGATTAGTCCTGCAGTTTCCACTCAGCGCCATTCTTTTTTATTTTCTCTGAAAATGATGGGGAAAAAAATAAAACTAAGTGGTGTCAAAAGAAGCGTCCTCCTTTATTTGGTGGCAGAGTCTCCAGCTTCATCTCAGAGCGATCTTCTTTTTCGTTTTTCTTCCATTGACGTTAAATCAGCGACCAACTAGGTTCGTTTATCCATTGCTGAGTGTGCAGCGCGCCTGGTGGGTGACTTTGGTGGAGGAAAGAGGAGTCGGTGCTGTGTGAGAGTGGAGAGCTGAATTAGAGGCTCACATTAGCGACTCTTTACAGCCTTTGGGGAAAATTGCTGAGAGAAGCCTTAATGCATTGGCTGAAAAAAGAAAAACATTCCTTGCATGCTTATCTTTTGTTCCCAGCAGTATCTTCCAACAAAGAAAATAAAGCTTCTCACAAACACGAAGGAAGTCAACTTTTTTTTAGGTTATAGTCCAAAGAGATGCAGAGAAAAAGGCTTGGGGTGAAGGGAAACTTCGTAGCTGATTCTGAATGTGTTCTGTCTATACAGTCAAACAAAGATATATGCGTTGCTCTCCTAAATAATGTAAAAATCGAAATCCATGTGTTGTTTTTTTTTTTTTTATCAATATTCTTGGAGCCAAAAAGTCCGAAGAGCCGCTGCAGCTCTGAACAGGGAGCTGTCCGTGGTGCTGATCTCCTCCTCAGCCTCCTCTGCAAGCACCGCCTCCCTTTTCCGATAGAGTTGGGTGGTGTCTTCTTTTCTCTCCTCTGCTATGCTGTCCTCCTCATCTTCCTCTATTTCACGCGCTCACACAAACTCACAATCACACGCTGTAAAAAATAAAAAATGTTATCCTTAATTTCTCACATGTATATTCCTATATGCATCAGTTACTAAGACTATATCGCTGCAAATAAATGAATATAATTGTCTTTTTGTTCAAACAAAAGTTTTCATGAGATGCATCCATCTGTGAACCAGTAAAACTGCATCCATTTGACCTGTAATTTGATTTGCCTTGCTTTAAACTTTTTTCAACAAATCACATTTAAGTTTTTAATTCAAAATAATGTCAGTTTTACAATTGATTTAACATATATTGATTTCTTTATTATTATTTTTTTATCTTAAAAGCGATAAAATAATTAAAGCTCATATGAGCCATTCTTAGAATTTAGTGGGAACTCCTTGGTACAGAAAAATGTCTCAACAGCGCCCTCCTCTGATTTTCCCACACACACTCGTACAGATGTTTTGATTACAGAAACTGTTTCTGGTACTTGCCACTGTAGTTCTGTTGTAATCTGCAGGATAGTCTTATAGTACTTTAAGCTGTTTTACTGCATCTTCAGTTTTACATAGGATCCTCCAGAAGTCGGCCTGATTTGCAAATCAAACCAATAAATGTCAAAAGACAAAAACAGTTTATCTTAGTTGATTGGTATTAAGTTATTTTGAAGGTTCTATATACTATGCATAGAAAAATATGGACTTTAGTCCTGCAGAAATAAAACAGATACATAATCTGCTTTCATTTCAATCTGCTGATATGAATTAATTTGAATATGCAACACAATCGTCTGTACTCACTTTGTATCGTGCTGAGGTATTTACAACTCCTAAATCAAAATTTTCAGCCATAAATCACACATGTCAGTGTATTGTACTGTAATTTTGTGCAATAGACCAAAGCATTGTAAGGTACGATCACTTATTGTAAGGAAAAAGATAAAAATGTTTTAAAATAATTAATAATTCAAAGTAGACATGTACTTACACCGTCTAGAGAAGCAGGAGAAAATTTAGGCCAATAGATACTGATTTTAAAAGATTTAATTTGTGGGTAACTGGTGTCATTTTATGGGGTATATGACTCCGAGTTCAGTGCTATTGACTTTCTTGTTCAGGTCAAGTGTGGTTTTAAAATGCCCAAAAGGCTCAACATTTTTTGTCTTTCTAATTATTTTTTTTTTATGGTTTTAGTTCAACTGTAATCCGTTATGCAAGCAATGCAAAGATATCCCTAGAAAGCAAAAAGTCACACTATATCCATAAAGATAGAAGGGTAAATTAGCTGTGCTTCAAATGCCTCCTGAGTATAACTGTCATCGAAGTTCTTTTAGTTTTGCTAAATTTCCTATTTATTTCTATAAATCAATTCATAGGACAGAAAAGGAAAGAGCACAGTGAAACAAGTGTTCAATATGAAAATAATAATACACACAGCAGAAGAGGCAGGAATAGGCATGCTGGTCGTTCCATCATAAATAGATGTGCCCACTCCACTGTGTTATCCTGCCTAAGTCTCTCCTCCAACACTGTAACTATAAAAACACTAAAAGTGTTACAGTTCCAAGCTATAAAACATCACATCATGCCTTGCAGAAAAACTTTCTACCCAATCAACCTTTTCAAACTGGTAATATGAAAACAAATGTTTTGGTCATAGACCAGCAAATCATTGTGGAAATAGAAGAAAAGGATAGGATTGAAATCCATTTTATATTTATGTTCTGCTTTAAATTAGTCAATTTAATGAAATCCTCATAAAATAATGGAAGTTTGTGATTGTAATGTAACAAACAAATTTGCCAAAACAAATGATATGTACGGAACACCTTGTCAAGGCACTGTATCTTTTCACACCCGTTGCCGTTTTCTCTGACATTTTTTATTTTACATATTCACAATTCATTTCATCAGTTTTGTATTAGCTGCTATAAATGTATGATAAAATATTCCGTCCCCAAGCACAGCAGTGAAATTCATAATTTATTATTTTTCCATGAAGGCCACCAGCATATCAGAGAGATTTTTAATTTTTCACTTGAAAAAGAAATCGACTCATTGCACTTCCAAGTTAAATCATGAGTGCTTCTCTTCTTGACAGAAAAAATTATTTCGTAGTGAGTCATTTTCTTCCCCTGCATTGCATAAAAAAATCTATTAAAAGGGAATTTTCAGGCTAGTCACAGATGGTTGAAATGAACAGTATACTTCTCCCACCTCCATCTCTCATTACCACCGCGCACTGAATGATGCCAGGCGATGAGAAATCTGCAAGTACAGCAAGCGGACATTCAATGCATAAATCCCCTCCACTCGCAGAGGGGAGTATTTACTAAAATAACTCTGTGCTCTGGGATAGGGATGATTATTTATTCATTCATATATTTCTCAGGTTCAGATAATGATCATTTGCATAGCCTCTGTCTGGGAATGCAAATTAATGTTCACTTTAAATAGTCCATGAGTTAAAAGATAATTTGCTTAAAAAATCCTATGTCTGTAATGGGATTTTTGAAACAAGTCTAATGATGCTCTCATTTGCAAAAAACTTGAAATGCAAAACAAACTAAAACAGACGTCCTTTCTGGCCTGAGAGGTGCTGAAGTGACCATTAGAAAGATGTTATGTAAATGTGATGGGTTGTGTAATTGGGCAAAGCTAAAAATACCTCAGTAAAAAAAAAAAAAAAAAAAAAAAAAGAACAGTATACCACATTTGAGAAAAAATAAGATGATGGTTTCAAATTTTTTTAATCTGCAAACTATTACAAGCACAGAAACAAAGATTTATGTGTATTAATTTCACAAAAAACTTGTAATGGCCTTGACAGATTCCAGAGGGACTTAGTGACTGAAAGAAGATGTCCTCATAATCTGAATGAGCAGAAGAAATTTTGCGAAGTACATTATGGTGAGCAGATATTACACATTAAGACATGCAGTGCATGGGCCATCAAAAAACTACTGAATGTTTAAATTGAGTCAAAACATGTTTAATCAAACTAGTAGCTCAAGTTATGCATACCTCTTTGAACTTGGTTATCGCTCTGTTTGTATCTACGTGTTTTTATCTGTGAACTTTTTTTATTCAAATAATTACCGTGCTCTTTTTTTTACATCAGATAACTAACACTGCTAAATATATATGTAAAAGAATTAAAATAAATTCTAAATTCTAAAGAAATTTTGAGTCCGCTTCTTGCTGTGGATATCCACACATTTGCCTTAGTTGAATGACACTTGTCGTTCCTTTCTTAAAGACTAAATAGGTAAAATGGCCTCTGTGTGACAAGGCAGGAGAATCCATAGAAGGAAACCATGTACGGTAGTTGTATTGGAAAGCTTCTCCATTTTGTGAGGAAAAAATATGAAGGAAAGTATAAACCATGAATTTGGTGTCTCTTCTACTAATTCTATAAGAAATTATTGGAATGAATCTAAGTTTGACTATAAAATACTGTCTTTTTTATTTTTACAGCTGAACAAATGCACTTGAATTAAATAGACACATGTCTACATTTTTCAGAAAGCAAACTTACCTTGTTGGATCATATGTCGGCATACAATGGGAGAATCCAAAAATTGTTGAAATGTTCAAATTTGTACAGCTGGATAAATATTTCGATCTGTCTCAAAAATTTCAGTCAGCAGAAGCAGAGGTTCATAGTCCTCACTTGTTTCTGCACATCCAACCATAATGATAGGGCTGGTGCAAAATGAAACATTCCTTTAAAAAGGGGAAAAGCTTATATCAGTTCATCATATTTGTACTTTTATTATTTTAAGTATTTACCAAAGAAAAAAGTGGATTATAAGCCTTTTTTATAAGCATAAAGCAGTGGCGAGTAAATGTGAGTTGAGAGGGCTTTTCAGCCTCCTGCCTGAGGTATACAAACAAACCCAATCATTACGGCATGCCTGCTGTACGCCGCATTGATCTTCAAACGTAACTCCATGAAGTCGCTGTGGGAATCAGCAACAAACTTGCTGCCCCAGATTTTTTTTTTGCAATGCATAAACTATTTTTAGCTAACAACAACATCTAAGAAAACTTAACCAAAATTCTTCCTGCACACCATAGCCAACAAATATTCACATGAAGCTTTTAGATTTTAAATGACTGTTATTCTAGAGGGTGAAATCTCTATTGGTTTACTCTCTACAAGAATCAGGACAGATATTCAGTTTTATTTGCTAATGTTTGCAACAGAGCATTTTAGACAACTTTATTTTTTGTTTGTTCAAGATAATAGTTTGGCTTAATTTATTGTGACTTGGCGGCTGTTGAACCAGGTTTATTTAACTAGAGGTCCAGTGAAAACTATTGTGGCTTTGGCAGCTAGAGCAGAGCAGGTTGATCAGATCCACAGTAACTGGAAAGCTAAAAAATAGGAACGTTGAACATCTGAACTTGTTTCTTGGCTGCAGTGGAGCTGTTCCTGTACTTCAATCCCTAAACCACTCTGCAGGTGAAAAGTTATTTCAAATCTTCATTTCAAGCTGCTTAGGAAATCCTTTTTTAATACAGTTACCATGAATTATATACATATACAGAGCATTGCAAGGAAATTGCAAAACTTGTTCCTATTTTCTCTAATCAACCTGTGAAATGTGCTCCAACAACCGAAAGAGCCAATAATGATATGTATTTGGCAGAGCTTTTTAAGGTGACCAATGCACTGTAGCTCATTATGATTGAGTAGAAGCAGTAGTAAAGATAAGTAAAGGTGAAATCTAAAAAGTCCAGCATGAATTTAGCCTTAAAGTATTATTAAATTCCTTAATTAAATACCAGATTTTGCTGCTATTACAAATGTGGTTAAAAGATCAAGCTCAGTAAAGCTGAAGGAAGAATGTTAACACAACAGTTCATGTGTTGCCATAAATTCTCAATAAGATTAAAGACATGTGCGTCTCAGTG